AATAATACGAATAAATTGTGTCTGAGGAGTCAGTTATGTGGAGGAGATGAGTTTGTAAAAGTTAGTTTTGAGTATGTGTGTGAAGGAGGAGGTGAGTCTGAGCTTAATGCAGGTCTGTCACATGTTCCAACTTACGTTTTGACTTTGAAAGAAGTCTCTTCTATCCACTTTTCGTTTTCTTGACATGCTGCCTCCTGGCTGTGCCTAACTACCAAAGACTCACAAATGAACACTTATTCAAATGTTATGTAATGGAAGCTGAGCTGAGCTGATATTACACAGCGTCTAGTTGACGATGTGACTCAGTACCGGTGTTCCCTAGCGGCTCCAAACTAGCAAAACAACGTGAGCACGTTCTGACTGTTTACAACTTGAGTGACAGCAGCAACAGCCAATAATACGTTAGCAAGTATCAGCAGAGCCAATAGATTAGCTTTTGGGCGGGTCTAATAGTAAACCGGTTTCCGTTTCGGTCCTAGTGCTCAACCAAATCCATTTAATGGAGCGTAACATTGTTTTTGGACGGAAAAAAGTGCAGGGGACCAAAACTGCCTTTTGAAAAAGTGGGGGGGACATGTCCCACCCGTCCCCCCCCCCCCCCCCAAATTACGTCCCAGGGAGTGTGTGACTGTGTTTGTGTATGACTGTATATGTCAGGTGGGGCCTTTGACTCCTCCCCTCTCCTGGAACCTCTCTTGATGATATAGATCTTTGTCCCCCATCCCCCTGCCACACCTGGTGTTACGGCCGCCGCCGTTTTGAAGCCCAGTGGTGTGCTGCGCACCGTTCCCTGTGCAGCAGCGCAGCACCACGGACAGCTACGCCTTGGGAAGCTGTCCTTACTCCAGCACCATGGACAGCGCCGGAGCGGCAGTCACGCCAGCTGGGGCTTCTCATCTCATCAGCCGGCCCTTTAAAAGCGGCCAGGTGGAGCTCATCAGGGGAGAGAAATGTTTGGTGTTGCAGAGGCAACGTGTGTTCTCTCCCCGTTGGCGGTTACCAGAGATTTTGTGGTTAATACCAGGTTGTGGTTTGCTTCTTGTGAAGAAGCAGCTTTAGAACCTTTTGTGTTTGGGAAATTCGCAGTTAAGCGGTAGTTTTTGGTTTTGGTGTGTCTACAAGACCACCTTGTGGGTAAATTACCAGGTGGGTTTTTTTCCCCCTTTTTGAAGTCTCAGTTTCCTGAGCTATTTTCGTTGTTTGGGTAAACTTAAGTTAATTCAGTATTTGGTTTTGTCCTTTAGACAAACCTTATTTAATTTAAGGGTGGGATTTTTTTCCCCTTTTGAGTTTCATCCCCTTTTTAACTAAAGGAGATTTATTTAGGATTTAGGATCTTGAGTGGTTGGTCCTCTGGACATTTTCAGTTAATTAAGGATAACTTAGTTAAGTTCTAGGTAAGGGTTTATTTGGCCCTTCTTTTGGTTCCTTTCTTTTTTTAATAAAACCTTTGAAATTACAAGGACACTTTGAGTTTGGTTTTGCTTGGTCAAGCCTTTTTCTCCCCAACGAGGGTCACTTTTTGTTAGACTGGTCCATCTTATGTTTATTCCCCTCACCTTCCTAGCTGAGCCCATAGAGGGGTGTAACACCTGGTGCGAGGGGTTGTGCCATGGTCTGCCTGAGTGTTCGTGACAACCGGGTCTGGGGGTTTAAGTTTCAGGCATCTGCCTGATAGATCCCGGTGGCTGCCTGGTGGGGTCTGGGTCCCTGGGCTCTGCTGGGTCCCCGGCGGGGGTGGTCGCCCCTGGGTCCCGGGCTCGGCCGGCTAGGGGGTGGGAGGCTGCGGGCGGGCCTGTGGGCTTGCCGCTGATATCTCCCGGGACTCTGCTGGCTGCTGGTTGTGGCCCCCCGGGGCTATCCTCTGTGCCCCTCGGGGGGGGCTTCCTGGTTGCAGTCTCCTTGGGGTTCCTGTGTTCTGGGGCAGCGCCTGGATCTCTGGGACTTGGCGCTCTCCCCGTCTCCTGCGCATCTTTGGGGGGGCGGATCTGTGGTCCCTCACACTCTCTGTTGGACGCTCCTGTAGAGAAACCTTACATAAACAAGCGCGTGTACACACACAGGTGCTCACATGGTGCTCTCAAAAGTATGGGTTTGGGCACGTTAAAGACCTGTGTCTTAAGACTATGGTGGGTACTTAATGCACTGTGATTTATTATCATGATTCTACAGTTAAGCAATGTTGATTATATATTTTCTTCATCAAGTTGACGCAGTGATAGCTAGATCTTGTTGTATAGTTGTTGTGTCCCATTTTTTTTGTCTTTTTCTGCAGGTCTAGAAGCAGACTCTTGTTCATTGTTTATCTTTGTGGAACCCCCCCCCCCCCCCCTCCTCCTCCTCTTTCCCCACCTTTTGTTTTCCTTTCTCTTTCACCTCTGTCTCCGTGTCTGGTCGGAATTAAAAAGCATTCAAAACAATAACAATAAAGTTTTAAGTATCAGGCGTGACATTAAAAGCAAACGCTTTGATGCTCCACCTGAGAGTAAATCTGTAAGGCTTGTTACCAGCATTCAGACATCAATTCTGCTTGCTTCACAGCCAGACAGGACACGGTAAAAAAAAAAAAAAAAAACAATGAATGAAATGATGTTCAGTCGTTGAAAAATATTAGAGGCTTTGTACCACTGGGGGTGGGAAACGAAGACCAGTTATTGTTGAGAACCGGTTCTCATTGTTTCAATTCCTAGGAATCGTTGACCACTTTTGCAAACGACTCCCCTTATCAGTTTTAGTCGGCGCAAATGACGTCACCATGCAGATTTATTCAGCTATGGAAGCAGGAAACATGGCATCTAAGCAGCACAAATGCTCAAATGTTTGGTTATATTTCACAAGATGTGATGACAACAGGGCAACTTGCAGTAATTGCAGAGTAGATATTTCATCAAGAGGTTGAAACACTACGAATGTGCAAAAGCATTTGGGCAAAAAATACACAATAACTTAAAGTTTATGACCCGCTCTGGATTAGTAAATTTCAACGCAGCAGCGGTGACGTTCACACATCCTCTCTTGGTTATACTGGAGGTAACTAATCAACCAACACTGCCTATCGTGTTAACGTCGTCTGCTTCATATCCCCACACTAGCAGACTCCTCCAGCGACAAAGGTCCGGCATGAGGGGAGATTTCTCCCATCCAGCAAAAGCTGCAGCAACACTGCACTGAACAAGAGTGAGCCTCTGGGCAGTGTGTGTGTGTGTGTGTGTGTGTGTGTGTGTGTGTGTGTGTGTGTGTGTGTGTGTGTGTGTGTGTGTGTGTGTGTGTGTGTGTGTGAATAAATGAACTGTAGTGTGATGCACTTTGGAGTCCTCTGACTCTGAAAGGCACTTTACAAATACGGGTCGTTTATCATTTAAATCAGAATGAAATACCAAAGATGGCACACTCCTAGTTGGGGGTGGGGTTCCACAAGGCTCGTTTTGGGACCCATATTAATTTCCATGTATTTAATTCATTAACCATAAATATGACCTGACTGTAACAATGTGCACTGATGATGCTTTGGTTTTTGTTCAGGGTAAAAATGTGAAAAGTCTCACACATGGCATGCTGAAAATGTAAACCTGGCTAAGAGGTCACATCTGTCTTTAAAACCCACAAACAGACATAAAAATGATGATGTTCACAAGGAAACCTATCAAATTAAACACGGCTAATAACCAAAACCTTTCAGCACAGAAGAGTTCAGGACCACGGAGAGCTCCTCTCCCACACTGCGGGGTCAGCTAGAACAACTAGCCACCCATTTCCTGGGTCTGCTTGTTGCTGTTCAGGGTTGTGTGTGGTCTAAGTCTATCACAGAGAAAATATGTTATTAATACACAAATATTTTCTTTTTCTGTCAGTAAAGAAGATCGTAAATGTCTTGGAGTTTGGAGTTCATGCCTTTATTTTGTATTTTGTAGTTTTTCCGTTAGTTTTCTTATATGTTTATTTTCTTGTTCTTTCTCTTGGTTTATTCTAGTTATATCTGATTTCACACCAGGTTTGAGTTTTCTGTCATGCTTGGCTGTAGGTTAGGTCAGCTCCCCTCCTTCTCTGTTTAAAGCTCAATGCAACATTTAAGTTTAGCCAAACCAAAAAATAAATAAACAGATTAATAAACATTACCTTTCAGCCTCTGTGCCAACTCTTGCATTTCTTCTTTGCCTCTCCTCTGAGCAGCACTTTTATTTGTGTAGATTTTAAAAACAGGACTGCTGAGTAGACGTGCTCGCCAAAGCTCAGTTCTCAACCTTTCACATCCACATATTTACTCATTTTGACCAAGTTCAACACCTGGATGAACAGCGAACCTTAAAACCAGCATAACCTGATCCGAGCGCGGCGTCTCCTGCAGGCTGTGACGTCACTCCCGCCTCCAAGGTCACTGAGCTGCTACTTATCCAGGTTTCACCAATTCTGAACGATGTTTAGTAAATAAAAAAACAAATAAATGCCATGAAACCGGGCTTCATGTGGACTATCTGTACAGTTTATTGTATTTTCACTCAGAAAACCTAAAGGCGTCTTTAATTCCTGCTGTTTAAGAGAACACTTTCCAGTTTGCGGTGATTCTTATAACGAATATTTAATGCTTAGGATGAAATTAGTTCCTATGATAACTCTGTGGGTCGTTTTACCTGAACGCGCAAAGCCAACCGCACATGTTCGGTTTATTATAATATTTTAATATTTATTTTAAATTGGAGCCATCAGGCAGACTTCAGCATGAATGAGGCAGATGTGCTTCAAACTCTTGATATTTGGAAAGTTTGGGTTTTCGGAGCTTCATTGGGGGACTTTGTCCGCCGCTCGGAGCCGCCTGACTCACCCCACCCTCCCCTCCTCCCTCCCTCCCTCCCTCCCTCCCGCCTGCCTGCCCCGGTCACGTCAAAGGCGCATGTGTGTTTCTGCTGTGATGCGAGTTGAGCCGCATCCAGACGCACTGGCCGCCGCTGGCTGATGCCCTCCCCCCTCCCCTCATCCTCCTCATCCTCTCCTCGCTGCTCCTCATCTTGGTGTGCGCTAAAATCTCCAGCGCCGGACGGACGGACGCAGTTTGGACGCAGCAAACGAACGGCACCGCGGGGGATGTGAGAAAAAGACACCCAGAGCAGACATGGATGTTTAACCGGCGTTTGGTTTTAATTTTTCTAATCTTTATTTTTTTTATCGTAAAGAAAAATCCCACAAACAAACCTTGTGATGTTGCTTCTGCCCAGGGGGGTGTAACTGAATTAAACCTGCTCGATGTCTCTCATCAGTTTGTAACCGGAACAAAATGAGGATTTCTTCCCGCTGGATTCTGCTGATGTTCTCGGGCTTGTGGGGACTGAACATGGGCGCGTTCCCGAGCAGCGTTCAGATCGGTGAGTGTGAGTCTCCGAGTCCAACCGGACCGGGAAATAAACCCTGGAACCGGACCTGCCCGCCACCTCCGGTCCTGACACTGAACACCTCAGTACTCCTCAAAGTGAGAGGAGCTGATCTATGCTGCAGCTTGTCCTTCTGATAAATCCTCTCCAGTTGTCTATGATAGATGTGCATTTAGACACATCATGCGTTTTTACGTGTGTGTCCCAGTACACCCGCCACTGCAGCAGATCAGAGCAGCAAAGTGTGTGTGTGTGTGTGTGTGTGTGTGTGCAGCATGCAGGCTGCCTGTGCATTGACTGCTTTTAACACTGCCTCCGGGTCCTGGTGCTGCAATAACCCGCCTCCACTGTCCCAAAGGACCTTAATTCCTCACCTTTTATTCCAGAGGTAAAAAAAACTCTTGATGCAGTCATTTAACAACTTCACAGCTTTGGTCATGAGAGGGAATACGGATGACAGCCTTGTGGTTTTCATTTTCCCATCTGACAGCATTTGGCTGGTTTAGAGGCAGCTGACAAACAGAAGGGCAAACTGTGACCTCCAGCTGCTAATCACTCGCCCAGCAGAAACACCGTTCCAGTAAAACCAGCGAAACCCTTATCTCTGAAAAATGCACTCTCTCTCTTTTTTGTGTGGATTTGCCTTCCACGGTATCCCTGCGTTCAGGCAGTGATGCTGATGATGAATGACAAGCCGTTCAAATGATTCTCCTTGTCCTTTCGTGTCAGTGTGATCCTCAAACCCCTGGGCCCTCGCAGAAGGTCAAAGTTCGGGGTTTGTTACAGAATATCAACCTTCCTGAGCCCTCTCGCAGGAGCGGCCAGTAAAAATGCTTTGCCATCATGTCGAGCATTTATGTAAGGAGTCGTTGCTGATTTAAGCAAAGCGTTGTGGGGGGAGAGCTGCTCGGATACAGATCTCTAGATGTTTATTTAGGCTCATCATGGCTGCTTATTAACATGTGTTTAACAAAGTGTCATCGTTCTCTCTGTCTGACCTGTGGGAGAGCAAAAACACCACTAAATGTCACCTTCTGACCGTGTAACGTGTTACCTCAGAGCTCCTTTTGCCGCCTGGAAGGGCAAACAAGGGCAAGAATTATTGCTATCAGCAGGGAAGGCGTGCTGTGCAGGTGTAACAAATACACAACTGAGTACATGTATTTTTATGGGTCTACAGTGAGGGTTCAGCTTTTCCCATCATGCATTGCACACTGCATGGAGGACACATTGGATGCAAATTTTGTCCGATTGGAAAACGTTGGTTAATATGAAAGCAGCTACAATAAATTCAGATGGAAAGGCCTTCATACACAAAGAAGGCTGGTTTTGATCAGCGCTGTCCATTTCTTCTTGGAGTGGGTGTAAAACGACACAGCAAGTACATCTGATTGGTAGACAACTTATTGTTTTGCAGGCCTAAAACAGTTTGAGCAGCTTAAAAACACAAAAAATTGGACTAAAATGAGCCGACTAGCCAACTCCAAAAGTGCATTAAATACTAACGCTGGACAGAAAAAATAAAACTTAAAGGAAATGATAACTAGCTGGATTCCTGACATTAGAAATCCTCCAGACTATTCTTTCCAAACCAGCTTTTGAAGAAACTTGCTGCTCATTCACTTATTTTCCTGTTTGTGTTTCTGTCATTTCTGTATTTTTCAATGTTTTTGTTGTGCTTGTGAAGAACTTTGTGAGTATTCTTATTAGGTTACAAGGTTATTTTACAATAATTTGACTTCCTATACCCACATTTGTTGAGGTCAGTAGCTCTTAAAGGGCCATTTGGGCCATTTTGAAGTTTTTGTATAAAAGTTATAAATAAATTCAATTCAAGTTTATTTATAAAGCGCCAAATCACGACAAGAGTCGTCTCAAGGCACTTCACATAATAAACACTCCAATTCAGGTCAGTTCATTAAGCCAATCAGAAATAATGTTTCCTATATAAGGAACCCAGCAAATTGCATCAAGTCACTGACTAGTGTCAGTGACTATACAGCAATCCTCATACTAAGCAAGCATGCAGCGACAGTGGAGAGGAAAACTCCCTTTTAACAGGAAGAAACCTCCAGAGAATCCTGGCTCAGTATAAGCAGTCATCCTCCACGACTCACAGGGGATCGAGAAGACACACACACACACACACACACACACACACACACACACACACACACACACACACACACACACACACACACACACACACACACACACACACACACACACACACACACACACACACACAGACAAGTAATGTGTCTACAGTTATATTGTGATTTCTTAGTAAATATTCTATTTGGTGAGAGATAAACTTTATTGTATTTATCCTAGTGGATCTATAATTAAACGGATAAACTAGTAGTAGCACATTCAATGTCAAGGAAACAAAAAGTTATTATCAGGAGAGGGAGAAAGTGGTTAGCAGCAGTGTGCTAGACGATGGCCCCCTCCATGAGGCCACCACAGCTCAGCAGAAGATCGTTGTAGCTTCTTCTGGAGAGAAAATCACTTAGAGAGAAAATAAAGTTAACAGCTGAAATAGCAGGAAATAATACAGTTAAAGAGCAGATTGTAGAATAAAGCAGTAGAGTGTGAAAAGTGGTCAGTGTATCCTCCAGCAGTCTAAGCCTATAGCAGCATAACTACAGAGATAACTCTGGATAACTTATCCTTTTAGATGGAGGCATGTTGGAGGCAGGCCAAATACATTCTTAACCATAGTGGACCACACTCCGAAAGGCCTGTGGAATGTTTTACAGCAAAGACACAAATTATTTGGGGAAATACTGCCTCCTACAGGCTTGGCATGCTTATGAATGCTGGTGGTGGTCAGAGGGACTGGTGGCACCAGTGTTCAGCAGTCTTGCTTTCGTCAGCACGCCCCAGGGCAGCTCCGGCTACAGTGTTAGTTCGTTATCACCAGAGTGTGAATGTGTGTCAATGGCTGGATGACTGATTGTGTGTGTCTTGGGGGTTGTAGATGCCTGAGAATGCACTATACAATTACATTTACCGTGGTGTTCACAAGGAACTGGACATATATATATGTATATATATATATATGTATGTATATATATATATATATATATATATATATATATATATATATATATATATATATATATATATGACTCTCAAGACAGCTCTGAGGATGTTTTACAGTTAGCAAACGAAACTGTCAGCAAGGCAAAGAGAAACCTTTCCTGTGTTTTAAAAGAATCAAAATGGAATTAGGGGGAATTTAATGCTGGATTTAGGTAAATGGAAAACAGGAGTGGTCTCAGCTACTCTTCGACAAGCCGTTAGCTCATCAATTCTGTTTTATGTAAGCTCAGTTTCTCTACGCAGACTGTTCTGGAAGCTGTCTGCATTCAAACAGTGCTCTTACAGTTCAGGATGGCTCGCAGAGTCAATTCTAAAATGTAATTTTGTCTGTTTGTGAGGAGAAAACAACATTTTAGAAACATAATTTACAAGAACAATGTCCTCTGAAGCTCTTATTGCCTTAAATTTGCCTTCTGACATCTTAGGATATATCAGAAACTTGTCCTCTTTTGGAGGTCGCAGCAATCCCTGTGAACAGTTCTTAATTTATGGTGCATGACATTCCCCTAACGACTCACAGTGTGGGTGTTGCTTGTTGAATGTTTGGCCACTTTGGTGTGTGTGTGTGTGTGTGTGTGTGTGTGTGTGTGTGTGTGTGTGTGTGTGTGTGTGTGTGTGTGTGTCCGTTCAGCAACACTTTGAACAGTCATAAAGACACACAACTTGTGTCATCAGATTTAGTGTGACGGGTTCACAGATTCAATGTCAAACAAACGCAAAATGGGATTATCACGACCAGGCTTCAATAAAGGGAGTAAATTATTCTGAAGTTTACCTTTTTAAGAGGTCAGCTAGGAAAAAAACACGCTGGCATTTAACTTAAAGTGACATTTACAGTCTCATCCTAAAAAATATAGCCTTAAGTCTGATCTGGAAATGTGAAACAAACTGCTCCTAACACCTCTGACATTTCCACAACCACGAATGGCTCAGATGGAATCTTTGTTTATGTTTAGGATTATAATCTAAAGAGACAGAGCCTAAAAATGGAGCGGAGTTCTTTCCAACGTTAAAGCTGATTTATGACGCAGGAGCTAATCTGGAATAAGAAACTGAAAGCTGAGCTGATTTATCATGATTTATTTTTCTATCTATACTTTTATGTGATAAAATAGTTTTGTAGACATCGAGCGGACTGTTGTTGCCATAAAAGAGAAGAATAAAGCATCATGGATGCCAGAAAGCACAGGATGTTACATTTTTCATACATGTTTACAGGTCAGTTTGTTATAGGTCACTAAAGCAGAATTATGTCTTCTCTAACCTCAACAAATAATCACATTTAAAACCAAAATACTTCATTAGACCTTTTAAAACAGAATTTAATATCATTTATTGTAGTGTTGGTCGAGGTTAAATGACTTTGTTTAAAGCATTCCCCTTAAATTATACATTTGAAGCTCCGGTGTAAGAATAAACTCTAGATAAATATTGGCTACGTGTTTAAGTGTTTCAATAAAATGCATTTGATAATAATAATAACAACAACAATAATAATAATAATAATAATAATAATAATAATAATAATAATAATTGCTGTTCTTCTTATTATTATCCTTTTTCCATAAGATCAAATTAAACATTTTGAGTAATTGAAAATATTCAATCACTAGTGATTTAAATATAATAAATAACAAATCGTCATTATGTATTTATAGAGCTGTTTCCTAAACCATCAGGGTTAGGGTTAGCTCTGCAGGTCGATCTAGCCTCACCTCAGCAAGTCTACCATCGGAGCAAACAGTTTTTGGGCCCAGCTATTCACAGAACTCTGTATGTTGGGAGGGCTTTGCACCGGCGGGAGAGCAAAACTACAAAGATGGCGGCTCAGGAATGGGGCTCGTTTGAATTGGCTTTGTCATCAAATTTGGTCGAGTTAGACTTGA